TCCTACATGGTTTTCGTTCACCCACAACGAGGCTTCCTGATAGGCTGATGCTACAGTCTTATCGATTCTTTTTGCAGGGGCCTCGCAGCTGATGCGCTTTGCTTACGGCGTTCCTATTTTCACCTCAACTTTGCTTCTTGCTTTCATGATAAGCGGCGGGGTCTCTGTAGTACTACGTACGCGGGCGAAGCTGTTTGTAGATCCCCGGCGAGCGAAGACTTCACAATCCTCCGATCCGAGGAAAGTCTAGGCGTCGTGGAATGATGCACTGGATTGCGTGACCACTTTTGTGCTTCTTTCTTGGCACAAGTGGACATATTGAACTCTGCTTGTTCTCTGCGAACTCATCCGGCCGTCTCTTGGTCCACCCGGAATATCCATGTGCACATACATGCTTCCTACTTCGCGGCTGTGTTCTTGTGATCAGTCGAAAGGTTTCCCACTCATCCGTTCCACACGGCAGAGGTTTCATGCAGGGTTTTGCCATCTACTGGGATATGAATGCCGCTGTAACGAAATTCTTCTATCGCATTGGTCCGTTAGTGCACAACTGTGGTCGTGCCCTCTAGGTCTGTGCGAGACAGTCGGACCTGACAGCTGTGTAAGTGAAGCAGGCATCGCCTCTGGTGCGTGTTTTTGCTTAAAGTCTAATTACGTCCCCTCGCTAACGTCATCTGATGTTGATTGATCATCCTCCATTCTCAAGTCACGCATCACGCATCTATTCACTTGGACTAACTCGTACGTTAATACTGGATTCGTCAGATCTGATGCGAGCCCACTGATTGGCGGGAAAGGCCCGCACTATTCTCTGGTCTATCTAAAAAAGAACGCGCGCTCGGCTGTAGACAAGGTATTCCAAATACACAGACACATACCAAACATGGACCCACGGCGTAACACCACTGGAATATAATAACTGCGCCTTATGGACATGAAAGGGGGTAATTGTCTTGTGGTGTCATTTTACGATGAAGGTTCTGACTTACGGCCGCGATGCTATCAGGGAAGGTTGAGATGACGACATTGCTTCGTGGCGTTTACCAACGCCTTAAGCCCTAGAGAAAAAGCGTTTCAATAGTGCGTTTACATCGGCTGGGTGATCACAATTACACAGGAGACCTTCCGAGGCTCATGTGATCAGTCACAAGTGGGTGAATTCAAAACTAGCTTTGCATGACAGCACACATTAAATTATACCAAAAGTTGCCGAGAAAAGTGTCACTAGTGATCGGAGCATGGATATGGATCGAAATTTATAAGGTTAGCGCGAGTAGCGGGGGGATGAACGAAACGTTGTGAGGTTTGTCCTCATGTTGAGAAAAAAAAAGATTGAACCGAATTTGAGGACAGACTGAAGCAAAATCACAGATATCGATTCGATAACACGGGCGGCTGCTAGGGTCACCGGAGAGCGCCCTTACTTGGCTAGCCGGATCTAGATTATGGTGTCACCGGCCAGGCAGGGCATTACAAGTTGGCCGAGCCGCGGCGCGGCGGGCACAGCAAGATAATAATGCAACGCATCAGGGTTGCGAACGGTATGATCGGGACTTGGAGTTCTGGGGGGACCAGAATCGAACCCAGAGGAATCGTAGGAAGCGACATGAAGAACGCTATGGGTGGTAAATGGGCTAGACGATCATGAGTTAGCTTAGGGTGAGCGTGACTGGCGCTCGGAGAAAGGGTTGGGTAACGGGCAAGAAGTGAAAGAATGGAGATGACATGACAATTTAGCAATGGAAGGAAATGGATGATACAAATTACGAACAAAATGGAGAGCGGGTTGTAGCTGATTTGGAATTGATGATCTGATGGCAAGTGGGGGCTGGCCGTGTTAGGATTGGCTCAGGAAAGGATCCGGGCAATGAGGCAGTAATTACTAGACTAAGGAGACTTGAGTGGGAAGAGATGCGTGTCAATGAAAGCCCCGTTTGTGAAAAGATAGGAACCGCTCTAGAGAGAAGAAGACAGGGACTAGAAATCCCGAAGTCATTTTTGGCCATGAAGGGTTGAAGGCACAAACACGAGGCACAGCGGGAATACCATACCCTCTAAATCGGTAACGTGAGATTTACATTCCTAAAATAGTCATCCCAATCCATTCATGCCAGGGATATTTAGACGGAATCAAAAAACTAACAAGTCTCCTCATCCCCTTCTTTTCTTCAAATCCTCATATTCCGACTACCTTCCTGTTCTCCAGCTCCGACTTTTTTTTTCTTTCTTCAGCTCTGTTGTTCTATTGTGCAGTCGGCTCCGGTATGTTCTTGTCTTTATTATTCTTTGTAGTCTTTTGTTCAAACCCAATATCATAGTCCCAGCATATTTCAAGTGTCAGCTTATTTTGACGATCATCTCTACCTAGGCTGCAGTGCAAGCACCTGCCTTCAGTACACCGACACATCGCTTTTTTTTTTAGTTTCAATCAGCAATGGAATCAACTCTTCTCGAGCACCCCCGGAGCCCCAACTTCATGGACACCCCATTTGCTTATGACTCGATTGCCAACCTCGAGCCGTACTTGCAGTACCCTCAGTCCCCCTATGGGGTCTCCACGATGTCCCGTTAGTATTGAATGACTCATATTCCCACGAGTACAACAATTAATCATATTCTATTTTTAGTTCCTGGACCCTCGTCTTCGTCCCCTCGCTTGGACTTCAACTCGTTGAACCTTACCAACTCAATCGGCGAGTATTCTTACTCTTCGAGCACGTCGTACACGACTGCTTCGCCAGGGCGCCCCTACACGCCCCCCGACAACGGCATCTCGCCTCCCGCTGTGTACTCTCTCAGCGCTGGTGAGCTCTCGTCGGACGGCCTTACTTCAGGCCGGCGTAGCCGTGGAAGCGGGACTCACTCCCCTTCCTCCGTGCACTCCGTTCCTTACTCCGCTGCCGTGCCGCGGTCGCACCGCTTCAACCCTATTGCGGCGCCTACCACGCGCTCTGCCACCAAGGCTACGCGGAGAAAGTCAAGGAATGACGACTCTGATGATGAGGATGATGACTTCCAGCCCTCCATCCCTGCCAACGCCAGCACTGACATGCGCCGCGAGACCATTCGTCGTCAACGCATCGAGTCAGAGCAGAGGCGTCGTGATGAGCTTCGGGACGGTTACCGCAGACTCAAGGATGCTCTTCCGGTCTCCAACCAGAAGTCTAGCAAGGTCTCGCTCCTAGACCGCGCTACGACTCACGTCAAGTACCTCGAGATGACCGCTCAACAACTACAGACGAGACTCCAACAGGCTGAGGCCGAAGTACAGCGACTTCGCTCGTAAGTTACTTATCGACGCTGCTTTACTACTATCTAACCTTATGTTTAGTGTCAATGAGGCGTTGATGCTCGGCACCGCTGAGCAACGTCACGCCGCTGCTGCCGCCGCAGTCGCAGCAGTATCTCAGCAATCACAGTCAAATTTCTGATTGCTGTGCTGACATAGGATCGCTCGAAATATCCATGAAAAAAGCACCGTCGGTTTACATTATCAGCATTGTTTATTCGCATGATCACACGACACTGGAATGCCTGTCGCCGGACTACAGGTTTTACGCACACTCAACGGACACTTAGCACGCATTTTTTATTTCTGCACTGGTTATGAACTTCATACGCATCGTTATGTCTTCCTGCGTCGCATGGATAGCGTTTTGGACGTCCTAGTGACGTTCTATTCATTTTCGGACAGGTTTAGGATCGCGTTGTGGCGCTTGCGCCGCTCGTACGTCGACTGCTATGCATCGACGAGTAGGAAACCCTGACGATGAAGATTGGATACCGACTGGATCCGGATGATGTGTGGAGAATACGATACGACACAAGACCGCAGGGCAGCTCGAGGCAGCTACACCCAAGTGGTGTGCACGCTTCGCCGCATCTGCGTGAGCTTCTTGTTATCACGCCATCCTCTGTTCCCCCCTTCCGTTCCATTTCATCCTTCTCGCACTGAGACGAACGACCACTTCATTGTGGTACGTGCCTCGTGCGCGCCGATACACAGGCGCATCATCAGTGGCAGCACTCTCACGGGCATCCTTGCCTTTCTGGAATGGGTGTTTCTTACGTAGCTATTCATTTCCGTCCTCTACGAAGACTATTCCGCATCTAGCACGCACGGCATGTTTTATTATCATCCTACTTATCACCTTTTGTCATGATCCGGCGACTGATCACCGCTTATTTCGTGACCCCTACCCTTTTCGCGAGATCATCAAGCTATCTCGTGGATAACACTTTGCGACCACAGCATTGCATGCCTGTGTGCAAGTGCAGCAATTGTGGTTGGCGCAGCGGAGCTTTTTTGTTTTTGAAGGTTGTTTACGAACACCGCCTACATTTTCCACTTCGACATTTCCATGCCTCAGAGCAGTTCGTCATCCTCTGTACCTCATTTGCCAGTCAAATGTAGCGTGCATTGAGGAGGATTTGAGCGCCCGATGCATACGGCGATCTAGGAGTTGGTCATTGTTGCAGTTCTTGACGTTCTGTCCACTTCCGCTTGCGGGTTTGGATGCACCGGTCGTCGACATTCCTGACATTTCGATTATCCTCACGCTCTGGTTCACATCGCCATCTATGATTCCGCCGCATATCACACATTGTTACTCGCCCCGCTATCATGTCTCATTGTCGCTATTTCTACACGCGCTATCATTATCGATTCTCTGTCAAGCTTCTTGTAGGTATTAGTTGTACTTGCCTTGCACCGGCGAGCGCGAGCTGTACTGCATTTATGTAGAATTGTCATACTATATCTCAAGCAATGAATCGATGTTTACACTTTTCTGAACAGAAATTCTGAAAGGATGTTAAGATGTGTGAATGAGGAAAGAATTCGATCGACTGCTGCTTGTCTGTCCAGATCTGCGGTTGAGTTCTGAATTTGATGGTCGGCGGTAGCTATGGCCTTATCGATGAGGTCGATCTGGATGCAACGATAAGGCCTTTGAGTTCCTCGTCATTATAATTAGTCAGACTATACTACTCCCACTACTATGTCAAACAAGCCGGCCATTCACCGCCAGCTGAACATCAAGTCTGGCGTGTCCAAAAGGCAAGAATAGCGCGACTCTGAGGTCACAGAGCGCTAACTCTATTTCTCAGGCTTTTGAAGGAACACATCCTGTATGCAAAAGAAGCAGAAGAGCAACAGCGGACGTTCGATAAGCTTATCGCCAATAAAGCTGAAGAGTGGGACGTGAAAAGTGCCGTGCGTGACAAAACTCATTTTACATTCATCACCAGCTGAAGCTCATGTTTATGACAATACGCCGATCAGAAAAGGATATTGGAAGAGTCACACAGGATGATCAAGGATTCTGATAACCGTCTAGGCAAGGCGGTACAAGATCTACGAGAACTCGTCGTGCGTATTTCGGTCGTTTTCTAACCTTGCCTTGCGTTACCCCTGATGTGCGCGTCTTTTGGAAGCTACGTGTCAAGTCCCAACCTGAGTTTGCGGAAGATGTCGAGCTCCTGCATGCCGAGGAAGCACTGGAGGAGGCGAGCGTGTAAGTTTCGGCTGTAAACCTGGAAAATCACGCGATGGTATGAACCTGACTTTTGATTGCATTATATTAGACACTTGAATTCGAAGGTCTCGGCATAGACGAGCAGCTCGTTATAGTTTAGTTGGACTCATGTATTCATTGCGTGGTGTGGGGAAGTGTGTACTAGTAGTTGTTCATGCTGTTGTGATTCCTTGAGGCGTGTGAGGGCGTCGAGGATGCCTACCCATGCATCTCGATCCGTGCGCTCTTCTTGCAGGCCTCTGGTCCCTGTAGCTCTTGGAAGACCGACACCAAGTGAAGGGGGAACAAATCCAAGAGGGGGAGCTGTGATTGCGGATGGTGCGATTCGTGACTGGCGTATGTGAGCCAATGAAGAGCGAATAGCCACTTGAATTGACTGCGGAAATTGAATTGAGATTATTTCTGAGATGTGCGATGAGAAGTCGACTGACGTCTAGCCGTTCAAAGTACTCGCTCACTTCTAGAACGAATTGCTCAGAGCGCTCTTCTCCCTGAGGGAGGTTGTCATCGGGCTCATCCGTCTGGGGGAGAGTGAGCAGCGAGACGGATGACGCTGCAAGGGATAGGAGACGGGTTATGTCCTAGTAGTGGGGGATACTTGTGAGCGGTGCGCCCTCCATGCGGTGCGCGTTACGGCTTACTTTTTCGACTTCACCCAAGGCGTAAATCTGGCGTGCAGTACGGCTTGACGTCCATATTGGATCGATCTCAGATGGATCGTTCTCTTGGACGGGCGGTGGTTCTTGGCGATGTGCCATGAGGAAAAAGAACTTTGTATTGGTGCTACTAATAGCGCAAGTACTGCGGCCAGTATGTACTAGCTGTAGTTAGTTGTTTCAACTTATTTGTTTTCAAGTGAGTTACGGGGGCATCATTTACATAAAGTTCCCCCTGTAGCGCTGAGGGTCTCCGTCGATGTTCTGTTGGTTGGAGTGTATCGTATCTGCAAGAAGAGGCGAGGACCCGCGGTGCTCCAAAGAACATCTACCCTTTAATGATCATCCAGGGACATCATGTACCGCGTAATGAGGGGCTCGACGAAAAGTTATACTTAAGTGAATGACCCTGAAGGTGAGAGCGTCCTCCACTAGCTTCTATCATGGGACATAAAAGGTTATTGAACGTTCGATTCGAAGGGCAGTCACATTGCGTTGGTCAATGATATTAATATTAACCAGGGACAGGGCCGCATTAAAATATGGGGGTCTTTTGCTATCAGTCGTAGACGCGTGCCGCAGCGTGCACGATATCGGAAGTGGTCAAACCTTGGGGTAATGGAAGTACTCTGTGATCCCCTATAATGACTTGGGAGTTGTCCGTACTTCGTTGACTTGATGGTGGTAAGAGAATAAGAGCACACAAGGATGGATTTAGTAATTGAATTACCTAATAAGGCAACCAACTGCGTTTAGTTTCAACTGCTTTGTCTATGCACTATGCTCATCCGATAGTGGAGAGGCTAAAGGCGTAGTAGGCAGCTCCACTATTCTACTTTGTGATCCCGAACTACAACCGACTTGTTAGATGGAATCACCACTAACCTATTCTCCAGTACAGAGCGTCCATTCCGGTCTTCCGTCAAGGTCCCGGAGTAGCACAAAACTTGGTGACGACGTCGCCTCATTAACTTCCTTCAATCCTTTCTCAGAAGAAGATGAAAACGATTATTCATCCTATGCTCTTGTGACCTCTTTGTTTTCACGCATGAAGAATAGCTTCGCTGCGCCCTTGACATCTTCCACTCTCTCACCCCCTCCCAATGGCACTCTTGGAGCCCTCACAGGCGAACAGAAACGTCCATCCGTGGCCTCCGTAAACGCATCCGCCTTCTCTTCTCGGTCTTCTGCGCCTGAGCGTCCGTCATCATTGACAGTCGTGCCATCCAGAACTGCGCCACCCCTCGTATCCTTGACGCCAGTCGTATCAGATCCACCATCCTTTGGTACAGAATTAGACCGCTCGCCTTCACGTGGTGGCCAATATACTCCTGTATACGAGACTCCAGACGGTGGTCTCTTTGGTACTGCTATCCCTGGTTTTCCCATTCAGGATGACGCGCGTAGCATACGCACTACTGCTTCATTAAATCGGTCTGCCTCTGTATCCAAAGTTATACGTCGTATTCGTGGTGAAGGTAAATATACAGACCCTTTCTTAACTGCTTCTAACACATGTCGTAGGTCTCTCTCGTGATTATTGGATGGAAGACTCCAATGCAAGGGAGTGTTATGATTGCAAAAGCGTATTCACAACATGGCGACGCAAACATCATTGTCGTATATGCGGTGTGTACTCTAACTTTCAAATTTAGACCTGCCGCTCATCCAAGTGCAGGCCAAATATTCTGCTCGCGTTGTGCATCGAATATCATTAAGGGTTCCAGGTTCGGTCATGACGGCATGGTTCGAGTGTGCAATCTCTGTCTCGAGAAACTTGCAAAGGTTGAAGACGAAGATGACGACGACAGGCGTTCTGTCGTCTCTTCTACAGCCTCTCCATTCCCTGCCCACCAGTTTGGCAGCGATTCATTCACGCTCAGTCTCGGCCATCATCCGCAATCCCCATTCGCCGCGTCCCAGCTGTTCGGAAGGACAGACGAACCGTTTAATCTGTATTCCATTGCTGAGACAAAGAGACTGATATCTGACAATGACTCCGTGTCTACTTCCCTCGCCGAGTGGGAGCCTGTCCGCGAGAGTACAGCACCCTTTCGACGGAACCTCTCAGAAGACGAGAAGGACCCTCCCGCAATATCCAACTTCAGCAAAAATACCGCACAAGCTACTGTGGCTCCTCGGTCAAAGACCCCAGTTGACTTTCCAGTCACTGTACCAATCAATGTCGAGGGCACTATGAGCTCAATTCAATTTCCTTTGAGCTCTCCGGACCAACACGGGTCAGACAGTCCCGGAAATTACAATAACATGCGCTCCCGATTCAGCAGCTTTGGTGATTTTGATGTTGCTACGCCCTTTATCAGGAGCCGAGCCCATAGTCGGCTCGATAGCTTCCCTACTATTGAAGGTTGGCGCACGAGGCGAGACTCTACTGCGTGAGTTAAAATTTAATATAAGTCATCTTGCATGATCTCATGCCACGAGCTTAGTTATGCTCAAGAGCTTAACCTAATTTCCATGTTCCACCTTCGCGTCATGCTGCGGCAAATGCTCACGACCGAGCAGATCCCGAACATCAAGGAATGGGAAGAAACCCTGCTGAAGCTTGCCCTTCGCGTCGCAAAAGAACTTACCTTCACTGCCCTTCCATACCACCAAGGTGAAGACATGGATGTTCGACGATATGTCAAGATCAAAAAGATACCCGGTGGCGCACCGAGTGATTCGGAATACGTTGATGGTGCCGTTATCACCAAGAACGTTGCCCACAAGCAAATGTCACGTATGCAACGTAATCCCCGTGTCATGCTTGTAACCTTCCCACTTGAGTTTCATCGGGTTGAGGGCCAATATGTCCACTTTGGCCAGATTCTTAGACAGGAAAAGGAGTATCTCGGAAACTTGGCGAGCAGGATCGCAGCGCTCAGGCCGCATGTGGTGTTGGTGGAAAAGTCCGTGAGCAGGATTGCACTCGAAGGGCTTGCGAAGCATAATATCGCCGTCGCTCGCGCTGTAAAGCCTACCGCGATCCAATTTGTGGCCCGGATGACTCAGGGAGATGTCTTTTCGTCGATCGATAAGCTTGCTTTAGAGCCCCGATTAGGTCATTGCGCGCGGTTCCGTGTGCAGACTTTCGACCACCCTCTGATCCCAGGGCAACGGAAGACCTATATGCGGTTTGAGGGATGCAGCCGTGAGTTGGGGTGCACCATCATCCTGAGAGGAGGGGATGTAGATATGCTCAAGAAGGTGAAGAAAGTGACCAGATTCTTGATGTTTGTCGTGAGGAACTTGAAGCTGGAGACCCACCTGTGGAAGGACTCCGTGATCACGCTCCCTAGCTTGAGTGCAGAGGCCGTACCGGCAGGCGGGGCTACGAAGCGGTATGCAGAGGGATTTGGCACGGTATCGAACCCTGGTGGTCTTGTGCCCGCATCGGTGTCCCTGGTGCATCTTGTGACACCAGAGGATAAGGAGCGGCAAAAGGCAGAGGAGGCGGAGATCAAAGAAGCTGAAGATGATCTTCCGGATGCTGATGCCGAGCGCCTTCGTCTTTCGAAACGAATCCAGCAGTCACTGGAGCCGTACAGCAAGACCTTCATATCCGTTTCTGCTACTCTGCGCTTTCCTCCCCCTCAGCCTATTAGGCGGATGAAGGAGTTGGATGACGAGCTTACTAATGTACAACGCGCTTGGGAAGACGAGATTGTGCGAAGAGAGGAGAAAGGCCCTGTTAAAAATGATAGCAAGGCTCCTTCAGGAACCCCCACCCCTGCAAGTGAGGCAACGGCCACTGTGTCCAGAATCGAACCAGATGTGGACGATGTAAAAGCCCAAATCGAAGCACTCCCACTCCCTGATCTTCCGAAAACACCTACTTCTGGTTTGTCTGAGCTCGGCGAGGAACCCGCTGGTTACTTTGAGCCTCAGCCAAGTACATTGCATGTCCTTGGGGGGTCATCGTTCTTCCATTCCCCCCGCCTTATCGATCCTGGCGAGAAGGATCATTTGATTCCCCTCAAGACCGCTACGGACATTGCGCTGGAGAGCCAGTTAGGCATGGTGAAGCATCGCCACGAAGAGCAACGACGTATTTGGGAATGGTACCTCCGCAAGAACGCTGATGATTTCGTGATTGACCAGTACCAATGCATTAGCCTTTGGGAATATACCATCCCGATCGAAGAATTTGGTCTTCATCGTGCCTGTTTCGCTCCTGGATTGAAGTATATCAAGTTCTATGGCGAGAACGATTGCACGCTGGGTCAGTTCATTGAGAAGAGTGTTAACGAGACGCTGGTCCGGTTCCTTGACCCGAAAGCCATCTGCACTGGGAAAGGATGCAACCAGCCACTTGCGAGACATTGCAAGGTCTTTGTGCATAACGAAACCAGACTTGCAGTTGCTGTCGAGCAGTGGGATGGGCAGATCAAGGCTAGGGGTCCGCATCTCTACCCGTCTCCGGAAACCATCACGACTTGGAGCGCTTGTCGGGTGTGTGGCTCAGCAACACCATTCATTCCCATCTCCGAAGAGATGCAGCGGTATTCCTTTGCAAAGTTCTTGGAATTGCACTTCTACCCCGCGGACGTACAGCTTGTCCAAGGCGCCGGCTGCCAACACAACATCTACCAACACCACATCCGGTACTTTGCAACGAAGGGAATGACGGTGCGGTTCCAGGCAGATCCTGTTGTCATCCATGAGGTTGTCTACCCTGCTATGCGCATTTGCATCCGTCCGGAGTCACAGCTGGAGCTCAAGAATGCAGATTACGAACGGCTACACCGCCGGAATACCATCTGGTACACTGCTCTTGTCGATGATCTCAAGCTCATCAGCATTGATGCAGCGATTGGTGATGAAGAGCAGGACGCAAAACTCCTCGCCGATATCAACAACCTCATTACACGCGCTGAAGATGAGAGAGAGGAGATTGCTCGGTTGATCAACAACATCTATAAGGAGTCGGCTCCGACTGATACGCTTGCTTTGAATCAAGTTCGATCCTTCCGACAGGACAAGATTGTAGCATGGCAGCAGGACTTTGACAAGCTCCCGAAGCCGAGGGGCATTCAGACTCTGGACAGGAACACGCGGAGGGTATCTGCTGCCCTTGGGTCTGTGAGGGCGATGTGGCCGAAGAAATCTGATCCTGCGAGTCCTAGTGAACCTCACCAGCCCTTTTCCATTTCGGAGGCGGAAGAGGGAGCGTTGACTCGTAGACGGGTTACTGGAGGTTCCTTTATTTCCTCTGCGTCAGAGACTTCGGAGCCTGAGCTTGAAACCGTTGCAGAGAAGACAGCGACGGCCTCTTCCGATATCGAAGCACCTCGTCCTTCAGCCATTGAGCCTGAAGTGGCTACTGAACGGAAATCGGATGCTGACAGTGATTCAACCATCGGTGCATCTAAAGACGATGGGGCACTCTCAGACCAAGGTGCAACATCAACAACACAAGTAAGTGCATATATT